TCTTGGCATCTAGTTAGGATGCCTCCTGGACGCTTCCCTGGTGAGATTTTCTAAGCACATCCAACCAGGAAGAAACCTAAAGGAAGACCCAGGACACGCTGGTGGGACGATGTCTCTCGGCTGACCGGGGAACACCTTGGGGTTCCCCCGGAGGAGCTGGCCCAGGCTGGAGAGAGGGAAGTCTGGGTCTCTGCCTAGGCCGCTGCACCTGCAACCCGGATCCTGATAAGTGGACGATAATGGATGGATGTACTAAACAAATATCCTTATATTTAAAACACACTCTACTGGATAAAGTCAGCACTTGTACAAGGATTTATGGGTATTGTAGGTTTTTCTCATCTTTCATTTCTGGAAACAATCCATTTACTTTTTTCAAAAAATTCTCAGCATTTCCTTATCAACACATTTATAAAGCAGCTAACATTTTTACTTTTACCATCTATTACTGATTGTTTCAGCAGGTGTCAGGTGCATTTATACTGAGTGTGTCTGGCTCGATGGCTCCCTCTCCTTCAAGCCCCATAATGATTATAACAGGAAGAAACTCAAACTCAGGCTGGGTTTCTTTTTTCAAAATAAACTGTGTTTTTCTTAAAAATAAACGACTAGTTATAACATTTGTAACTAGTCGCATTGTTGCAACAGTTCTGTCTATTCTGGATCATGGAGAACTTTTGTATATGAATGCCTCAGCTCAGTGTCTTGGTAAGAGTGATGTAGTTTACCATGCCTCGCTGAGGTTTATTACTAACTGTAGACCACTGACCCATCTTTGTGAATTGTATTATCCAGTGGGATGGCCTTCTCTGCCCACCAGGAGGTTGGGACATTGGTACACCTTCATTTATAAGGCCACTGGATTACTACCCGACTATATCTGTAAATTAATCTCACAGAGAAGAAAAAGAAAGAAAGAAAGAAAGAAAGAAAGAAAGACAACAATATTTTCTATAGCGCCTCTCAAGATAAAAATCACGAGGCACTTCACAAAAAATAAAATAATCATAACAATAATTTAAGGATAGAAAAGATGTCAAAAATTATTCAAAACATGTTTAAAATGAATAAGGAGAGCGTGGTGATGAAGGTCACACAAAAGCCAGCCTGAACAGGTGAGACTTCAGCTGCTTTTTAAAGGAGACCACTGAGTCCACTGATCTCAGGCTCAGGGGGAGAGAGTTCTAGAGTCTGGGGGCCACAGCAGCAGATGATCTGTCACCTTTGGTCTTTAGCCTGGTGCGCTGCACAACCAATAGGCTTTGATCACTGGACCTCAGGGACCTGCTGGAGGTGTAGGGACTGAGAAGATCACCAATGTATGATGGTGCTTGTCATACGTCGGTGATAAGTGTAACGTCTTACAGTCTGCATGCAAATGATCAGTTGTTACTTTGTGTTCCGTTTGCTCGCACCAAACTGGGCAAAAGGGCTTTTGTTCACTCTGCTCCTTCTGCATGGAGCAGGCTGCAGGAAAACTGGAAATTAACTGAGTTTACCTCCTTGACTACATTTAAAACCAGACTGAGAGCCCTTGAGATGGGTTCCCTGTGTTGTAACTGCCTTCTATAATTTTGTACATAACATGTCTGTGTAACTGAGAAATGTTGTAACTGTAACTTTTGCTGCCTCTTGGCCAGGACTTCCTTGAAAATGGGGTTTTTATATCAATAGGAGCTTCCTGGTTAAATAAAGAATAAATAACAATGACCTGAACAGCACCTTTCTGATTATGAGGACTCCAAAGCACTTTGCACTACAGTGATTCATTCTTCCATTCACACGCTGATGGTGATGAGCTACACCATAGCCACAGCTGTCGTATTCACATTTTTACTGAAAGCTCTTAATAGAAAACATATTGCAAATATTCTCTTCCTCATTCCTCAAAAAAACTCCACAACAACCAGGAATCACGCCGGTCAGCTTATGAGGGAGGTTTCGCTCATCCAGGGTCTTTCCTGGTCGAGTCAAATAGTTTAATGTTCCTTTTAAAGGTGACAGTAGAGATCTCATGCAGGGTCTGATCTTTGCCAACATGGTTTCTAACAGGAGTTTTTCCAAATAAACTCCTGTTTCAAATAAAAGTAGCTGAAACGGATCTGCGTCTTCTTCAGACGTCAGGCTCTGCCACAACGAGCTAAACACTGATTCTTCCTTCCTTTGTCCTAAGTGATCTACCTCATGTTTGCAGTAAGAATGCGCAGATGTTTTACCCAAAGCTCCCCGTAGCTACAGGTCTGACAAACATTCCTCTGTCTGTGAAATTATAATTCACATGCATGCCCAAGTAACCCAGAATTAAGATCTGGCAACCTCTCACTCAGTCTGACGGGAATTCTTCATTTGCAAATGTGAAGCGTGTGTGCTCCGTGTAGTCCCTGCAGCAACGCGACACATTAATGAGGGAGTAGAAATTAGATTCAGGCTTCGGAGGGATGAGTCATGCAGAGGTGGGGGGGCTTTGCTCAGCAGATCACAACATTTTCAGGTTTTTAGGGAGTGTCGGTTATAAAGTGATACATGCAAGTGGAGGCACATAAAGAATTTAGAGTTTCTTTTTCTATGTATTTATTTTGAAATTTGCACTGTTTGAATGACTGGTCATTCAAATTGACTGAATGGTCAAAAAGGTTGACAAAATAAATATTCAGATTCAAATCCAATATTCAAAGTTGAATCAGAATGCCAATGGTTTTGATTACAGTTAGACTTTCAACCAACAGAGCTGTAAAACAAGAGGATCCTAAATCCTAAAAGCAGAGACCTCTACCATGAACCAGGTCATTATAAAACAGGGGTGTCAAATATGCGGCCCGCGGGCCGGATCCGGCCCACAAACGGGTTGCATCCGGCCCGCGAGATGGTTGTGTAAACTTTATTTTCATACTTTACAATGTAGAGTAAAAATAAACGTATCATTGTGAGCTAATTTTCTCTGTAATGAGTATAAATAAGACAAAGCTGCGCTCAAGGCTCACTCAAGAACTTGAATCACATCCTGAAGTTGGCCGCCACTCAGGATGTGACTTCTGATATTGATGTGCTGGTGAAAGCTAAAAGATGTAAAGTAAAATGAGTCAAATATACTTTAAGTGCTGCATGAAACTGATCTAGCCATGTGATCTGTAAGCTCTTTGAATCACTAAGGAATGTTTTTTTTATTTTTTCAAATTTTCAAGTACACTTCAGGTGTTGTACTTGTACTATTTTGGATACACTGTCCTCAGGCTCCAGATTTGTTTTATATTGATTGTACTAAAACAAAGAAAACAATCTGAAGTTGTTTTTGATTTACCGGTCCGGCCCACTTGGGACTAGATTTCCCTCAATTGGGCCATTCCCTTCTGTACCTGGTTGGCCCAGGCCGGGCAGCCCCAGCCGGCCCAAGTGATTCCTCCCTTTCCTCACGTCCCTGCTCTGGAATGCGGACGTGACTGAGCATGCGGGCGGTCCCCAGAAATTGGCGGGAGAAATTGGCGCTAAGATGTCGGTGATGTCATGTATCAGCGACCATTTGAGCCGCCCTGTGTTGATACGTGTGTAGTGTTGTAAACAATGGAGAACTTCGTGGTGTTATTTTTCATGGTTCTGCGCTTGTGGCTAGTTTTGGGGCCCAGACTCCGCGCTAGACAGGCCGAAAGGCGTCGGCTTCGCCAGCTGAAGAGGGATGGGAGGAGGATTAAATCTGCAAAGCGCCGCCAAGTCATACTGGAAGCCATTCTGAAGCAGAACAACACATTGCTGCTATTACGACAGCGCAGACAACGCATCCTGGTAATTGCTAAAATTCTAATTCTGACGTGCGTGTTTAATACACTTCAAGTTAATAAAATACGTTTCATTTGTTTTAGATGGCTATTTTGGAAGGCTCCAGCCGCAGACGCGCATTCTGGTCACTCAGCCGATCCTCTGACTGGTGGGATAATTACGTGCCTCGTTACACGGAAGCGCAGTGGTTGAAGCGCTTCAGAATGTCTGAGGATACATTCATTTTCTTGTGCAACAAACTGCGGCCAGCATTGCAGCGAAAATACTTTCTTCCGTGCGTGCCTCTGAGGAAGATTGCAGCTATTGCTTTATGGAAATTTGCCACAGGTTTAGATCACAGACCCATCAGTGTTTTGTTTGGTGTTGGCATCTCAACTGTTGCCAAGTGTGTGAAGGACGTCTGTGCTGCTGCAGAAGCATTGCTGTGGCCAGGACTGATTCATTTACCCGATGAGGGTAAATTTCAGGAGATAGCGTCTTATTTTGAGAGCAGGTGGAGGTTGCCACAGCGTGTGGGTGCTATTGATGGCTCACACATCCCCATCATAGCACCCAGAAACTTTCACACAGACTATTTCAACCGGAAAGGGTGGCACTCACTCATCTTGCAAGCTGTGGTTGATGGAAAGGGGCTGTTTTTGGAACGTTTTTGCAGGGCTTCCAGGGAGCATGCATGACGCGAGGGTACTGAGACTTTCCTCCATCTGGGATTTGGCAAGCCGTGGAAATCTCTTCCCTGACCATTCCATCCAAATTGCTGACATTGACTTTGGATACTGCATCCTGGGTGACTCTTGCTTACCCGCTGCAAGACTGGCTTCTGAAACCATTCACAGACACTGGGCGACTGACAGAGCAGCAACTTCTTTTTAACAAGAAGTTCAGCCGGGCACGTGTGGTGGCTGAAAATGCCTTTGGTAGGCTGAAGGGAAGGTGGCGCTGCCTACTTAAATGCAATGACTATGATGTCAGTCTGGTGTGTTCCATGATTCTGACCTGCTGTGTCCTGCATAATCTGTGAGAGCCATGGGGAGCATTATGACAATGTGTGGACAACTGAAACAGAATACCCTGAACCTGTGGCTGCACCACCACTACCGCCACTAAACACAGGAGATGTGGGAGGGAAAGCAAAGCATGATGCTCTGATGATGCACCTTGTGGGCAGTAGTGATTGAATTACATCCGACTGAATGTTTTGCTCAAATAGTTTTATCCACTCGGCAAATGTTTGACCTTTGAACTTCTTTTATGCACCACCACCTAAAAACTGTAAGCATGAGCAAATATATTTCATGAGTTTGTATTAAGTCAAGTGTGGACTGTACACATTTGAGCTTCTGATACTTCTAAACACGCCTGCTGACAAAAATAAAAGAACTGCCATTTTTTTTCAATTCAAATAAATTATATGGACATCATGTCCAGATTAATGCAGACCAGCTAGATAAAGCTGACTTAAGCAATTGTTATATGCACATCCAAGGCTTAGCCATGTCTCAAGTCTGGTTATTAAGGCAAGTTGAGATAAATATTTGGACTCTTTACATTGATGCCTGACTTACAAAAGTTCTTATTAGCCAAGTGTGGAGTGCACATTTGAGCTTCTGATCCTTCTCAACACTCCTGCTGACATATAACCTGATCTTGTCTACATTGACACCTACCTGGTATTTATTCCTATATAAATCTCAAAGTTGAATAAAGCAAATATCCAAGGCTGGTGTATGCTATTTTAGCACAAACATTTTCATATTGAAACTATAGTTGGACCCTTCCACTTCACATTCTGTGAAATGGACACCGTGATGGATTACACGTTGCATTGTCAAACACTTTATTGCACCTCTATTTAATAACAAAAATAAAAACATACTCAGGTCATTTATTTAGTAGATTTTTCTACCGCCGACACCAAATTACGCAGCACATCCAAGAAAGCGTGATTGAATTCCCGCTGTGCTATCCTCTCCTCTCGTCTCTCCTCCCTCTCCTCTCGTCTCTCCTCTCTCTGCAGGCGTCTGTCTTCCGCCTCTGACTCCATGTGCTGCTCCATTAAACAGTTCATCTTCCTCGCAGCCTCCAGGAGCCCCGCGTCACTCTCCACCAGCGTCTCCAACAACGGTGACACGATGCTGCTCCCCGCCTCCTTTTTCCTGAATAAACACCAAAACGATGTATATGTAATTACACGTGCTTGCCATATTTTGATGTCGTTGTTGCAATTGAACTCACCGTAGCTTGGTCTGCTGTCCCCCGATGACGCTGAGACGCTTGGGCTGCAGCTGCGGACGCAGTCGCCAGATGAGGGCCCAGCGTTCATGCCCCCGGTGTCGGGCACGTCCTGGCTCTTATCGGCGCACAGTTCCAGAGTTATATCTTTTATAAAGAGAAAACAATAAATAACTTAATATGCACAAACACAAATACTAACCGAAGACGTTAATGGGCAAGCTAGGCTAGTAGGCATATCACAACTAGCCTGGAGTTAGCCTAGCCTTTTGTTCGCATATCAGAGCTACCCAAAGCTAGCACAGCATTTTGTCCGCACTACAGTACAGTGTAGCACAAACGGGAGGTCATATTATTAATTATTATGATAAGTGCTCACTCACCGTTGTCCTGAGGGCCAGTGTAAGCTGGAGTGGCTGTGTCCACGACACTCCCCCGGCCATTACTCACAGGCCTCTCACCATAAATGGCATCCATGTCGGCAAACCATTTCCAGTGCTGCTGGTCTGCCCCACTGCTGCTGTTGTGGTCCTTGACTGACCTGTACTCAGCTTTTAAGTTTTTTATTTTTTCATGGCACTGCTTGGAGGTGCGTTCGTAGCCGTGGGCGGACATTGTTTGTGCAAGCCCCTGAAAAATCTTTTCATTTCGCACAGAACTGTCCAGTTCGCGCTGGATTCTGTCGTCGGCGAGCAACAAGAGGAAAATTTTAACCTCGTCATTGCTCCAGGCGTTCGAAGATGAGGTCTGCGAGCAGGGAGAAGGCATGTCGATGCTGGAGAACACAAGCAAAAAATGGATGCGGAAGATTGAGTTTGGCGCGATTGTGTGACATCACTACACATACTAAATGTAAACACCGCAAGGCCAATCAGAAGATTTGATTGGGGGGGGGGGGGGGGGTAACACGTCACTTGACCAATCGGTGGAGAGTGGGCGTGTTGGGCCTGAAGCAGACCCCCTCGAGAAGAGGGCTGAGAATGAGCCTTGGTTGGTTGGCCCAGAAAAATACCAGGCCACCCAGATATGTAAACAACCTACACTACCGGCCGGGCTGACCCGGTACAGATGGGAATGGCCCAAATGTGGCCCCTGAGCTAAAATGAGTTTGACACCCCTGCTTTAAAAGTATTGAAACATGCCATTTTAATGTTTCTGTAATGGAACACTTGCCATGTGATTAATGATGATTACATATTTTAAGAATATTGTTATTTCTCTTTAGACACATTTAATTCAGTTCAATTCAATTTCAATTCAAGTTTATTTATAAAGCACCAAATCCCGACAAGAGTCATCTCAAGGCACTTCACACAGTAAACGTTCCAATACACAGGTCAGTTCATTAAGCCAACCAGAATAAAGTTTCCTGTATAAGGAACCCAGCAGGTTGCATCAAGTCACTGACTAGTGTCAGAGTCTTTACAGCAATCCTCTAAGCAAGCATGCAGTGACAGTGGAGAGGAAAACTTCCTTTTTTAACAGAAAGAAACCTCCAGAGGATCCTGGCTCAGTATAAGCAGCCATCCACCACGACTCACTGGGGACACACAACATATATACCAAGTAATGTTTCTATGGTTACATTGTGATTTCTTAGTAAATATTCTATTTAGTGAGAGATAAACTTTATTGTATTTATCCTAGTGAATCTATAATTAAACAGATAAACGTAGTAGCACATTGAACGTCTAAGAAAGTAAAATGTTATTATCAGGAGAGGGAGAAAGTTTAAGTGATTAGCAGCAGTGTGCTGGCCCCCTCCATAAGGCCACCACAGCTCATGCAGAACACCATTGTAGCTTCTTCTGGAGAGAAAAACACTCAGAGAAAAAATAAAGTTAACAGATAAGCAGTTAAAGAGCACATTCTAGAAGAAAGCAGTCAAGTGTGGAAAGTGGTCAGTGTATCCTCCAGCAGTCTAAGCCTATAGCAGCATAACTACAGAGATAACTCTGGATAACCTAGCCTTTTAGATGGAGGCATGTTGGAGACAGGGCAAGAGAGAGTCGTCTTTACCGACTGTACACTCCACCTCCCTCTACTCCCCACTTGTCCAGATCTAAGCTAACATCAGATTTTAACCATAGGCCCTATCAAAATAAAATGTTTTAAGACTAATCTTAAAAGTAGACAGTAGATAAAACTTTAGATAAAAATGGAAGGTTAGATATTGGTCTATAATTTATTGGGTCATCTGGATCCAGAGAAGGCTTTTTAAGTAAAGGTTTGATTACAGCAACCTTAAAATCCTGTGGTATGTATCCATTTACTAAGGATATATTGATTATATCTAGGATGGGGGCAGTAACCAAAGGAAATGCATCTTTAAATAATTTGGTTGGGATTGGATCTAAAATGCAAGTTGAATGTTTAGATGAAGCTAATATTTTTGATAACTCTGAAAGCTCAACTGGATCAAAACGGTTCAAACACAGATGAGGTTCTACAGTCACCTCTGATGCTGCCTCACTTACTGAGGAAGAAGAAATCGCATTAGGGAGGATGCTAATGATTTTTCTTCTAATAGAATTAATTTTAATTGTAAAAAATCCCATGAAGTCATTGCTGCTGAGGGCTAAGGGAATAGATGGTTCAGCGCTATGATTCTGTGTAAGTTTGGCAACTGTTGTACTGAAAAGAAATTTTGGATTATTCGTATTCTTCTCAAGTAGCGATGAAAAATAAGCAGTTCTAGCTTGTCGAAACTTAGTTTAAACACAAGACTATTTTTCCAGGATAAGTAGGACTCCTCCTGGTATGTAGAGCGCCATGTTCTCTCCAATTATTCTGAGACAATAATGGAGACAAAACGTTTCACACCTTATTTTTCTGACTGGACTAAAATTTTGAGTTTATATCTATCTATCTATCTATCTATCTATCTATCTATCTATCTATCTATCTATCTATCTATCTATCTATCTATCTATCTATCTATCTATCTATCTATCTATCTATCTATCTATCTATCTATCTATCTATCTATCTATCTATCTATCTATCTATCTATCTATCTATCTATCTATCTATCTATCTATCTATCTATCTATCTATCTATCTATCTATCTATCTATCTATCTATCTATATGTGTGTGTGTGTGTGTGTGTGTGTGTGTGTGTGTGTGTGTGTGTGTGTGTAGGTAACATTTAGATTTGAGTCTGAATGTTACACTCAATTTCAGTTAGAGTCTAAAGGTATTTAGATTTAATTCTGAACATTTAATCGGTGCCTCCCAGATCAGGAACTCCGTTTGGTTGTTTCACATAAATCAGGGAATCTTCGGGATTCCGTGAAAAAGACTTCCTGTCTGAGATCTCAAACCTCCGCGGGCGCGTCCACACAACTCGGTCAAAGAGCTGAATCAAGAGCGTGGGTGTGCGCGCGTACGCGTGCAGTAGTTGTGCACATCTGGTTCTGTCAGGTCAGCAGAGTTGCGGAGGAGGGACTCCTGTATTGCGCGCGCGGTCGCGTTGAGCTCTAATTCGCAGCAGATGCGCATTTGTGGGGATGAAGGCTGTTCTCAGAGGGTTCCTCGCCCAGCAGCAGACCCGCTCCCGCAGCGTCGATGCTTTAGAGAACAAATGGAGGAGCTAGTCTGCAGCCTGACGGAGGAGAGGCGCGGCTGCACCTGAACCAGCGCGCACTGGTCTGGAAATGGATACTAGCAGATTCCTGGTGGGATCATGCTTTTTCCTACTGTGTCTCTGTGGATTCACATCACCATCATCATCATCAGCAGCAGCAGCAGCGATGGTGGACTTTTGCCCAGAACGCTGCGACTGTGCGCATCCACAGCACCTCCTGTGCATCAACCGCGGGTTGCGCACCGTGCCCAAACCCGCGGCGCGGTTTTCTGGTGGCGCACGGATCTTCAGCCTAGGGGGAAACTTCATCACAAACATCTCTGCCTCCGACTTCACGTGGTACAGTCACCTGATCCGGCTGAACCTTCAGTACAACCAGGTAGAAAACATTCATCCAAAAGCCTTTGAGGGACTGTCCAACCTGGAGGAGCTGTACCTGGGACACAACCTGTTATCCTCCATCGCTGCTGGAACCTTCCAGCCCCTCCCCAGGTTAACCGTGTTCTATGGAAACAACAATGGCCTCAGGAAAATAACACCTGGGCTCTTTTCTAACCTGGAAAGTCTTGTTAAACTTCGCCTCGATGGCAACTTAATAGAAGTCCTGCAGGATTCTGTTTTTAAAAGTCTGAGCAGCCTGCATTATCTCCACCTGGAATACAACAAAGTTCAGCACATCCACAGGGACGCCTTCTCTAAGCTGACCAGTCTGCGCTTTCTAAACTTGGCTCACAACAAGCAGTCGGCCATGCAGAACGCCCTGACTTTCTCCCATCTTAGAGCTCTGACAACGCTGCTGCTGTCTGAAAACGAAATCCAGCAAGTGGGAAACCACGTCTTCCAAAGCCTGAACAAACTCTCCAAGCTCTCCCTCAGCAACAACAGAATCTCCATCATGGGCAACCATACTCTGGAGGGACTGTTGAGCCTGAGGGAGCTTCTGATGGACGGAAACCAGCTGAAGGAAATCCCATCCGGTCTCCTGGACCCTCTGCAGCGCATCGAGCGGCTGGACTTCAGCCACAACCACATCTCCAGCATAAACCCCATGGCTTTTTCTAAACTGAAACATCTAAAGCTGCTAAAGCTGAACAACAACTTTCTAACTAGTCTGTCAGGGGGCAGTTTTACCCTGAACCATGTGCTTTATGACCTGCATCTCCATGGCAACAACTGGACCTGTGACTGTGGCCTGGAGGATCTGAAGAGATGGATGACTGCGGCACATTCTCAGGGCAAACTGTTGACTGTAATTGTGCAATGCCACTACCCCGTGAGCCTGAGGGGGATATATCTGGACTTTTTGAACAGCTCCCAGCTGCAGCCCCTTGGGAACTGGAGCCACTCGTGTGAGAGCCAACCCAGGCCGGACGAGAGCTGGGGAAGAAGTGTGTTGGTAAAAGTGGAGGACGGCGAGAGAGGAGCAGCAGTGAAGGATGAAGAGAGGAGACGTGAAGAGGTGGGAATGGGTGAGAGAAACAGAACAGAATCAACAGAGGGAGAACGCTCGAGGAACCAGAAGAAGAACGGATGGGAAGATTGGGATGAAACAAAAAGAGAAAAGCAGGGAAAGATGGGAATTCAAGGAGACCAAGGGGGGCCGGAGGTAGAAGAAGCAGCTGTGGGGGCTGTTGCCAAACGTCCCAAAGGGAGACAAAGGTCACGTGTCATTACTAAAACAACCACCTATCCAAGTTACTCCACAAACGTCTGGGTCAGCACCATTCCGGTCCAGTTAGGGGAGAAGCTTGACCATCTGAGGTCACCTCAGGAGATGAGTCTGCCTGTGGTCACAGATCCCTGTGAGTTTAACCATCATTACATCACTAACGTATCAGTGGACCAGGTCACGTCCAGGACCGTCTCCGTGTCCTGGATCACCAGGGATCACGCTGTAGGGGCCAAGTCCACCCACCATGAAGTCCGCTACCGGATTCTGTTTGACAGATTTGGCATCGCGGACCGGTTCCCACGTTACATCTACACCCCCAGAGCAGCTCGCACCATCACCCTCCGTGAACTCACCCCAGGGGTGACCTACATGGTGTGTGTGGAGGGAGTGGTGGGTGGTTCTGTGTGCAACGTAGCACCACGAGACCACTGCACAGGCCTGGTCACCCTGCCTGAGGAGGGCAGCCACAGCGGAGCCACACTGACCTCTGACCTCCAGCTGGTGACAGTGGCCACCCTGGTAGGGAACGCCGTTCTGCTGCTGGTCGTCAGCGGTGTCTGGTTGGGTCGGAGCCTCAGAAGAAGGCTGCTGAGGAGGAAGACGTCCGTCCACGTGCGTCACATGTACTCGACTAGGCGTGCGTTCCGGCCTCCTGTGACCGTGGCGTCCGTCTCCACAGACTTCACCAGTTACCAGAGCAGCCGGCCCGCTCGACTCACACCGCTGGAGGAAGATCTGATCCAGTTCCCTTCTGATCGCTTTCTAGATAACTGTGGGGCTCGCAGGGACACAGACTTCCAGAGATTCTCTGACTAAAACCATGAAAGTACTAAAAATGTGAGCGAGCTCAAGTCTTTCTCCTTTTACTAGTTTTTAAATCCCAGCCTCAAGGTCAGTAAATGACCGCCGAGCTCAGAGGATGTCCGGTTCTCCCGACTTCCTCGTCCTGATCCGAACCTTTCCTCCTTCATTTCCTCACATCTGTGTGTGATCTTCCTGTGAATGTACTCATATGAATGATGTACCACTGATTTCAATTATGGTGCTAATGCTGATTTAGACAGAATGTAAAGATGGCTGTCGTGTTTTATACGTTTACGTGTTATTTTGTTTTCCACAAGGAAGTAAATCCCCTGAAATGTGACTAGAAAGTCACAAACAAGTGTCCAAACTCATCTGAGACGTGTTGTGCACATTAGACAGTCTTCCACTATTCTGCATGAAACATTTATTTACAGCTTTAAAGAAACTTTTATTTACATTTAAATAAAAAGGCAAACACCACTTGGATGTTTGTGTTTAGGATAATAAGAAAAGTTTATCTGTGTGTGTGTGTGTGTGTGTGTGTGTGTGTGTGTGTGTGTGTGTGTGAACAACCTTTAAACCAAATTCTCTTAAAGCAGCTGCAATAGGCAGAGCTGGACACCAGGTGGCGGTGTGGACCAGAAACCCGGCTAATGTGGATTATCTACCTCCAGATATTCAAGTTTATTCCCTGGAACGGAAGAACAACCACGAAGATGATACCAGAATATATCTTTTTATTTGCGTATTAGATGAGTAACATTTTTACAGTACAAAACACGTCATTAAAATAGAAGTTTCCGAAACTTTTAGAGAAAAATTTAAAGTGTTTTACAAAAGTGCCTTTTGGTTGGTTTCTGTAACACAGGCATGGGTTTGACTGACTTTGATGAATTTAAAGAATAAAAAATGCAAACTGTTTCTTCTTCAAATAAAAGCCATAAAACGTGCAACCATTGCTGCTGCCCTTTTAAAAAGTTTGCATATATATTTCAAAATTTGTGCAAAGTTTATTAGCAAAAGTGTTTTAAAATTGTTTTTAGGTGAATTACAGGTAACCGGGGGATCTGGTAGATGAGATTTCCTTGCTGTTTTTACGCTTGATGGGAACGTTTCTGGTTCCCTGTCCAACCAGAACAAACCAGTAACACTTTTATGAGTTTGCATGTTTATCGCAGCGTTTCATCTGCAGCTAGAAGACAAGAGTCCAGGCTGGGCGTCTCCTCCAGCTGTCGAGGAGGTGGAGACGCTGTTGTGTTGGATGACCTGAAGGTGAGACTCGGGGTCTGCAGGGGTGGGACTTCCTCCTGGACTCACCCCTGCAGCTGGACACAGAGACATCTGTCAAAGTCACTGGTAATGGTCAGGGGTGGCCACACGTGAACAAAAACCCACGTCAGATCAGGGTTACATGAAAATATCTTCTTTTATTATTATTTTAACAAATGATTACTGTACATACAGGTAAAAAGAGCAATAAAATATCTGAATAGCACAAGTAAAATTCCCTCTTTGTTCTCTGATGCTCTTAAATCCTAGCATCTTAAACTGGGTGCAAACGCTTTACATTCACTTTATCTGCTCTGGAGTGCAACACGGGCATCGCTGGTTTTTAGAGTGTTCTGAGAAAAATGGAGCTGTCATGTGATGTTCTCTCCTGAGGATTAAAAGTGCTTATGTGTGAAACCTGCAGGGTTAAAAGCAGAGTTCACTTTTTCAGGCACAGTTTAAGGCTTCTAGATGTGTGTATTTGACGTGTATGAAGACGTTTAAGGAATATTGTGATGTTTGTCTACCCTCAGAGGTGGCTGAAGCCGGGTATGCACCGGGGAAGGGGTTTACTCACTAGGGTACCCCTGTGCTTCCCTCTGCCGAGCCGTGACAGGACAGTCCTTATGGGTGAGCAGGATCTGCTTCAGTTGACCGACCTCTGACCTCAGTGATGTCACCTCGTTCTGGTGGGACACACACACACAGGCTGAGTACTTCTGAGAACATAGGGTTTCAGCAGCTGTCTCGGACTCAGACTCACCTGTAGCTGCAGGTTTGTGTGCGTCAGCTCTTCAGCTTTCTTTTCCAGCGACGACACCCACAGTTTCCTCTTTTGTCGGCAGCGTGTGGCGGCGGCCCGGTTACGCTCCAGAAACTTTTGCCTCCTCTCATCGGGGTCCTGCTCTGAGGTTCTCCTGCGCCGGTTGCAGCTGCTGCCGGCGTGCACCGCATGGTGAGGCTGTGTGGGCTGTATGTGTTGAGCAACTGGAGATAACTGGAAAAGATCAAAGATAATCATAATTAAAATCTCCGTTCTGCGCCTGGGAACACAAACGCAGCACGATTGTAGCACCTGAGCTGGGGCAGGCAGAGAAGGTGGAGGCGGGGGGCTCTGCTGCAGCTGTGACGGAGGCGATCGGTGCACCTGGTGGCAGCTGCTCAGGTGTTGTGGGGGCGGAGCCTGATACCTCTGTTGGTAGGTGGGAGGCGAAGTTGTAAGCTGTGGTGGATGATGGTGGTGGTGTTGCTGTAAAGGAGGTGGATGGAGGCGCTGTGGCATCATGTCCATCATGTGACCCATGCGGACCGTCCCCGTGTGCTGCTGCTGGTAGTGATGGCCCAGCGTGTGTTTGGCTCTCTGATTGGACAAAAATAAACCCTCCATAAATGTTAGCTGCTAGCAAGTTTCAATAGTGAAACTGGTGCTTTAACCACACGTCTAGAGATGGTTTATGAAAATGAAGCTTTCATAACCTCACTGAATTACAAAAATGATCTAAAATATAGCAACGGTCTCAGGAATGCTGTTGTCTTCCAGCCTGGTGATGTTGATGCTGCTGCCTGCAGCCTGATACCTTCACACTTTATTATTCCTGTGTATCGTCTGGCTAAACTGACTGTAAGAGCTAAATTAAACCTCATCTCACCTTTCTCTTCAACTCAGCAAGAGAAGGAGAGGTCATGTTTGGAGCATGACATCATCCCCCATCCCATCCCTGGATATGCTGCTATCTGCTTGCTGCTACACGGTGTTTCTTTGAGAGAGGAGGCAGATTTTTTCCCTCTCTCCACCATTCAGCTTTAAAAAAAAGGAGCACATTTAACTGGTGCCAAGGATGAGGTCAGAGAGTTGTGTGTGTGCCAGCTTCACCAGCCAGTCAGGCCACCAGACACACACACACACACACACACACACACACACACACACACACACACACACACACACACACACACACACACACACACACACACACACACACACACACACACACACGAAGCAGGACAGGACATGAGCGTTTCAGCTCTGTTTACTACACACAAACACCATGACGCTGGGCCGGCGATTACATCACGACGCTCCTCGGCCCAGATGACACACCACTTTGATATTTGGATCCAGAGGGATCCGTGAATGAAGACATGAAACTCTGATCCATTTGTCAAATGTTGACTTTTCCACTTGAGCTGAGAGTGGCGTTCCTGTAACAGAGGCATGCTAATGCACCTCCTGTGCCTTTAAACAAACAGGCCCCATTTCACACCTGAGACCAGCAACAACATCGATAACACTAAATTATGATTCTGATGAAGGGATGAAGGTCAGGAGAAATGACTGAGTTACACCATCACAAATGACTAATGGACACCATGAAACAAACTTCGTAGCTCCTTCTTTTGCATTTATTCACTCAACTAAACACTGTTAAATGCGCCCTTTAGACAAAAAGTGTCAAGTAACAAAGTACAAATACTTATTACTTTACTTAAGTAAAAATGTTGGGTACTGGAGTAAATCCTTGACCTTTGGAAGGCCATTGACACAGTAAGTTGGGATGACATTCTCCTGAACAAGCTCACAAACCTCCATCTCCCTAAGTAAACTGGCTCAAGTCATACCACAGTGGCACTATCTCCACCTGAGGACTACACAACAGGTGTCCCGCAGGGCTCCATTTTGGCACCCTTGCTTTTTTGTATTCACATCAACAACTTTCCCTCTATTTGCACTGCCAATGTCATTGTGTATGCTGATGACACAGTGGTGTTCATTCATGGTAAAAATTAACAAGACGTGGCAACTTGATAGCCAAACAAATGCAGCATTGATTAATTGAGTAATCCACAAAATCTGCTATTTTAAAGGTTGTTAAAATATTTTTTTGTTTGCTTATTGAGAAGTGTTGTAGTCCTGTAAAGCTTTTGTTCCTAATGGTATTTAAAAAAGATATTACTTTTACTTTCATACTTTAAATGTTGCATATTGAACAGTTTAATAAAAAGTTAGATAAAAAATTCCTCCACAGAGCATTTAGAGGTGTGCAGAAAGAAGGGAAATTATTTCCTTTAAAATCTATATTTCAATTAAAAAGTAATCGAATATTTATTTTGATGAGCACAGCACTGGGTTTACGTTGTCATCTACCAGCCAGTAGATGGCACCATTGCAGGTTGTCAAACAGTCCGCTCGGCACAGCGAGGCTGACACTGTGGAAAATGGCAGACTCTGCAAGTCAAGCAGCTGCTTCTGAGCCCAGAAGATATCTTTCTCCGAAGAGGAGCAACCATAAAATATCTAAAACCACAGTGTTTAGGCTAACAGATGGACCCAAATCAAACATGTCAGTGAACCTGGTATCCCGGCAGCTAAAACCTTGTTCTTTTGTTGCAACTACAACCTCCACACACTAGATGTCGCTTTCTGTTCCATATTCAACCTTTAAGTGCTTTTAAAACTTTTTTAGTTTTACTTGGATGAAAAGGTTGAATTGATACTTTGGTTTCTACAGAAGTCGTTTTAAATCCTAGTATCTCTTCCTACTTCTACCTGAGTAATGAAGGTGAATGCTTTTGACACCTCTGAGTGAAATGTGTAAAATTCTGAACTTTAGTTTTAATTTGAAATAACTTTTCTGAGCTAAATCAAAGTGACAGTGTGAATTTTCCCTTGCAATGGGGGCAGCACATACCTAAATCCTTGCGAGCAAATGGTATTTTTGTGTTTAAGTAAGATCTTAACAAACGGATGACCATTAGCCTGGTTTCACACGGGAAGCATCAAGCGGAGTGGAACAGCAGCGGAACATTTTACTCGCGAACTTCAAAGCGGTTCATTTCACACTAGGAGAGTCTTGGCCGCGGTGTAACCTGCTGGGTTCCTTAAATAGCTCACTTTTTACTGGTTGGCTTAATTAACTGAACTGTATTGGAATGTTTACTGTGTGAAGTGCCTTGAGACGACTCTTGTTGTGATTTATAAATAAATTTGAATTGAATTGAATTGAAACTCTCAGCTGAACTTGCGAGATCAAAAAATCCCTCAAAACTTCAAAGGTCATGGTTTGTTGATACAATCTGCCATTAAACCAGAAAGAAGGAAATCACACTTGATATGGCTGTTTGATGTCATTTATGATGTTGTTCATCTCCATTGGCAGTATTAAAGCCATTAAAAATTCAACGCTGCACTTCTGGAACAATACTGGGAGTCAATAAGCCATTGGGTCACATGTAAGCTACATATATATGGAATTGCATCGCTGCAGTACTTTTATTTTGAAACTTACAGGGGATTTTATACTGAAACCAAACGTGACTTTCTGTCTAGCCCTATGTTAATTGCTGAAATTGACATGTCCCAGAAGCGGCTTAGGGTAAAAATAGAACTCGATTCTATTTTTAGTGGCACGGCGTGCCCCTTCTGGGATGTGCATGAAAATTTCCGCATCGATGCTAGTTTGAAACACTCCACAAACTGTAATGGACTCTATCTGAAGCAGTGACGTTCTGTGCCGCTGATGCTTTCAGTGTGAAACTGCACTCTCATTGCTGGCAATGAGCGAAGAGTATGAAACAACAACAGCAACGTTGATGAATAGAGAAAGTTTTGTAACAGTTTGTTCTTAGACCCAATTCAGGCATCATTTAAGTCACTTTCAATAACGTTTTGATGGATAATTCTAAAGGTTAACAGTAAAAACTACACTCTGTCTCTTTAACATAGGAGTAGCATGACCATCTAGCCCTAGCAAAAGCATTAGCCTGTTAGCTTAGCCACATATTCTGGTTCTAAAATGTATTTAGCTTGGCAAATAAATACGAGTAAAATTAGCGTCACATTGTTGTTTTAACAAAATAAAAAGTCAACCGTCTCTTCTGACTGAAAGTAAAAACCTTTACCTGTTAGCTTCTGCCTTCCCCAGGATCCAGTGTGTTACGTTTTTCTTATTGTTGTTCTCTTTGCCTTTCCTCACATTTTTATTCACATTTTGTTTACTTTTCACATTTTTCCTGACACACACACACGCACACACACACACACACACACACACACACACACACACACACACACACACACACACACACACACACACACACACACACACACACACACACATTTTCTTCTTTTTTAAATCTTTTGTAATTTGTACTTTTTAAATTTCTGTTCTTGTGATTTTTATCACGCTATAAAAGATCGTGTCTTCTAGCTTAGCACAGAGCTGCGAACAGACGAAAAAACGTGATCTTGTTTCTGTGGGGTTTTTCTTCCTTTCTTTCAAATTTTAGATAAAGTGACTGGTGCTAAAGTAAGACTAATATTTTTAGCCTTTTTATCTAGAAAATATCAGCTTTAGTCAAAACTTTGAGAGTGGTACCTGGGGGGATGAGCAGGACGGGTTGTGTACATCCATCGCACAAGACATCTGCTTTTCTATCTGAAAAGGAAAGATACAAACTATTATTTCAGTTATGAATGATAACAGCAGCTTCTCACACGTGAATAACATTCATCTAATTCATTTGATGCATTTGCTTCATTCAACCATAAAGGTGAATGTTGTTCATTTCTTACTTTGTTGCTGTTTAAATTCTGCACCGTACATGTGTGTGAGCACGCTGCAGCCCTGTACTTACCGCCATGTGCTGAGCAGATGCCCCTTGCATGGCAGGGTCTGGCAGGGAGCCAGGTAGGGAGGCTGGCAGAGGCTGCCTGTGTCTGTTCCTCATGTGGTGCAGGCAGGACAGCGTCCCGGGAACCGGCCTGCTCACAGAGACAGAAAACGGCTCAAGTTTCACTCAGGCCCGGTTCAAAGGGAGGTGCAGGCTCAAACATTTATGGGGGTGAATAATATGAACTGGCACATAATAATGCAGCTAAAACTGCTGAGATGCAACATAATTTTTAAAATTGTGAAAATGTTTAATCAACTATGACATAAAATGAAGAAAAAACTCTTTCACATATACATTTGAGTTGAATCATCATCTAAATGATAACATTTTTAGTGCTGTGGGACTTTTTAGGTTTCTTTTTACATTTTTAACAGAAAATATGTAAAAATGTTAAACAGATGAATCCCAACATTAACCTCCTGAGACCCGAGTTGTAGTGTGATGTAAGGGTTTTTTTGTTTCATCCAGTTATATCCAGTAAAAAAACAAACATGTTTCTGAAACACTTATAGTTAAAAAAAATTCTAAAGATAAACTGGAAAAAATCTAAATTAGATTTGAAAAATAACAACTGAAAGCCTAAATAAAAAAAACATTCCCAGAGTTTAAGCAACAGGTCTACGCTGAGCCCAATAAAGTTTTACAGTGCAGGAGGCTGATGTCAGTGCTGCTCGGTGAGAATAGATCGGTCGTTTAGGGTCACACAGGAGGAAAATAGTTCCCAAAACCAAGAGTTGAGAGTACCAACTGATGTTTGGGATGAAACAGCAAAACAAGAGATAAAATGATGGAAAACAGATATCCAGCAGCAGGAGGAGCGAGGCTCAGGGAGCCCAGTGGGGGATGCAGAGAGCCCCAGTTCTGACCTAATCGCCCTGGCAACCAGCCAATTGGACAGTGTGGCAGCCATGAAGTTAGTAGAGATGATGATGTCATCACTGACTCTAGGAATCTGAATTCTGCTAACATACAACAAAGAACTGAAAGAGCCTAAAACAGCCTTTCCTAACATAACCAAAGCAGCTCCAGCCGGGCCAGCTGCCAGAGAGTCAGTAAAGTGGGTCGCTGTGGTAACCAGTCATAAACACCATTGGAAACAGTCAGAGTCTCGGAGCATGGCTGATTCCGTAACATTTAACGGGTTTAACTGACTAATGCTGTCTGGGTTCAGTTGGCTTGGATTTATTAGACGGTCCTGCCACAGCCCGCCAGGAAGCAATGTGACAATCACTATAAGTACCATGTGTTGCTATGGATAATAGATTTGGGATGTTTATGAGTCAAAAAAATACAAACACCATAGTGAATAATAATAAAGGACACCAATGTTTGAACAAATTATTTTTCTCATGTTTTTAATTTTTAATTAAACGTTTTGCAATTGCATATAAATTTGCATAGAAACCAAACATGGGGCTGGAGGACGCAATCAACTACCTGCAGCACCAGGCGCTGACTCACCTCCAGATGCAAAAAAGCATTGTGAGAGTCATGTGCATTCAGCACCATCCAGCCATGTCTACTGCAGCAGAAGATTAGCGCTGGAGTAGTGGACGAACATCTGACTGCATGGACCATCAGCTACCTCACAAACAGGCCACAATGAGTGAGGCTGCACAGCTGTGCATCTGAGGTGGTGGTGTGCAGCACTGGAGCTCCACAGGGTACGGTGCTCTCTCCCTTTCTGTTCACCTTCTACACCTCGGACTTCACCTACAACACCAGCAGCTGTCATCTCCAGAAGTTCACTGATGATTTGGCCATTGTGTATTTAATACGTTTCTTTGAAAATGTTAAATATGACTTATCTTCAGCTACATGGCATTATTCTGGAAGAGTAAAATCTAGAGAATCTAGAGAGAGAGAGATCTCAAACACAGTCCAAACAACCGAAAGAGGGAAATAAAATCTAATAATTAATGTGATGTAATCTGCAGAATTATTTAAATTTGAAAAGGTTGTGGAACAAGAAACATTAGAAATGTGCTTTTATTGTTAAATAAATGATACAACAACAATTGAATCAACACAAGTTAGTAATGATGTTAGAAATAACCAAAGTGATCATTTTTAAGGTTGTTTCTCTGCTAAACTTTCAATTATCTCATTGCATTTATCCCACCGAACGCTAATGAAAGGTGTGACATGCCCAGAGTTAAGTGCTTTGAGCGACTGGTCCTGGCACCCCTCAAGTCTTATCCCCAGACTGGATCGAAGCCATGGGAGTACAGAGGACGCTGTATCCACAGCACTTGATGGTGTACTCTCACATCTGGACAACAAGAAGACTTATATGCAGGAATGCTGCTTGCTGACTTCGGCTCAGCATTCAGTACAGTTATTCCCTTCGTGCTGATCACCAAATGTTTGGACCTTGGAATCAGTAACTTGATCTGTAACTGGATCATGGACTTTCTGACCAACAGTCGGGCCATGACTGCTCCATCACCATCACACTCAACAGTGGTGCTCCACAGGGCTGTGTCCTGAGCCCTTCCTCTATTCCCTTCTCGTCCATGACTGCAGACCTAGGTATGGCTCCAACTCAATCGTCAAGTTTGTAGATGACATCATGGTGATTGGTCTCATCATTGCTAACGATGAGTCTGGCTACAGGAAAGAGGTAAAGCACCCAGCTTATGCTGCTCTGACTATAACCTGCTCCTGAATACCAGCAAAACCAACGAGCTCATTGTGGACTTCAGGAGAGAGAAGAAAGTCACCCATGTCCACATGTATGTAGATGGCACAGCTGCGTCTCCAGCTTCAAGTTCTTAGCAACCCACATCTCTGAGACTGTTCTGATCAAGAAGGCCCATCAGCACCTCATTTTCCTGAAGACACTGAAGAAGAACCACCTGTCTACTGGCATTCTGGGTAACTTCTACCACTGTGCGATAGAGCATCCTGACCAACTATGTCACAGTATGGTACGGGAATGTCTCTGTTGCTGACCTCAAAGCACTGCAGCTGGTGGTGAAAACTGCCCAACACATCACAGGGAATCCACTTCCTGCCATTGAGGATGTCTACAAGAAGAGATGGCTACACCGAACCTGCATCACTCACAGGGACTGCTCTCATCCTGCCAGTAAAGTCTTCAACCCCTCCCCTCCAGATGACACTAGGACCCTACAGACTAGATCCAGCAGGTTTAGGAACAGCCTCTTGCCCACAGCTGTCACCCTACTGAACATTTCCAACACACCCCCATCTCTCCCTATGACCATGATCATGACTGTCATCCATTCACCATATGGTTACTACCCTGTTCACTGTTACAGACTGTTCAGAGAGCTACGCTTGCACTATATTATTGTGTATCATCAGCATATACGTCCATGTGTCCGTAGTACATCTGCATATTAGCTCTCTACTCAACTTGTGTTTTTAATAGCTCTCATTGCTCTTCTGATTAGACACAAACTGCATTTCGTTACCCTGTTTTCACACATGTGTAATGACAATAGAGCTGAATCCTAATCCTAATCCTAATTTATAATCATTTTACTTGTTTCCGGAACGGCCTTAGTTCAGAGAAAGAGTGTTTAGGCCGATCAGAACTGATGAGCTAGCCAACGTTTTTGCTGCTGACCTAAAAAAAAAAGCTTCAATCTTCAATATTATAGCACCAGTGTTTTGACGATATGTTGCACCATCATCCATTTAGTGTCGCTGTTATTTACGTGGAGTTCTGCGTGTTTTCAATGGCATAAACAACAACAGCAGTAATGAAGTTTCGCATTCAGCAAACCTAGGATGTTTTTAAACCTCTGAGAACAAATGATTAGATCAAAAAAGGATTTTTTTATCCTAAAAATGGACAAAAATACAGGAGCACAACACAAACGATTTCTGTCCTTTCAAGTGTAATCAGCGTATTTTTCTGCCTCAGTACATCATTATGCTGAAAATAGATCTTCACCAAACTGAGGACATTCAGAAAAGTAATGTACAACAGATAAGAGAGTCTAAAGCTTTCACACAGAAACACCTTTTTAAAGTCCTTGAACATGTTCAACAGTGAAATATTGTGTTTGTAGGACTTTGTATTAATATCAGAGCTTCTTATCTAAAAGAATGACTTGAAAGCACAGTATTTTATGTTTTATGGCTCCCACTCTCAACGTTTTATTTATTTATTCTGATACCCTCTGAGTGAACGCTGAGTTTGGGAACGCCAGAGCCGAGCTGTCGGGAAGATTGGGAGCAGCTGTTGGGAGGAGAGACAGGAACTCCTCTAATCTGTCGGAGGAGCTGGGCGATAATCAGGGAGCCGTGGAAGCCGCCTGAGTGCTGAGAGGCTCCAGAGTTTTTACAGACACCACAGAGGTCGGAGTGGGCGGAGCCTACGGGACTGAGGAGCAGTCACAGCGGTTCTCCGCCTGCACTAAACAATGTTTAATCTTTTTCCTCTTGCTTGTTTTACGAAGTGATTTATGCATGTATGTGTGTGTGTGTGCGTACGTGTGTGTTTGTGTGTGTGCATATGTGTCCCGATAAGCATTGTAGGCTTCTGATCCGGATCCGATCTTTTAACTTCAAATCTGATCCGATTTCGAGTCCCGATCCGATAGTTTGCCTTTCCTATTGAACTTTATAAAGCTGAAATATGTTTTTAGCGAGTAACTCAAATAAACCTTCTAAGACTCATTTGATTAATAAGCATTACCATTGTTATTGTAAATCCCATGAAATCAAAGCTTACAGAGAAAGTTTAGCTTCAGTTGAACATTTTGGACTGAAGTAATGAACTAACTAGTGAATTTGCAGCAGGCTAAACATTGATATGCTCAATAAGGCCCTCTACTGTCATGGGCTTTCATTTTGAGTAAAGACCAGAGTGGGGGGGGGGATTTATAACGCTGTACACGAGAAAATGCTAACTTCCTGCTTTGAGACCGGATGTAGAGAGTTTTATTTCCGGTTGCTTTATTTGTCGTGAACTGCTACAGTGAAGATGAACTCCGAAGTCGGACAGATGGCGTTGGGTTACAAAGAGCACGAGGTGGAGTGAAGCCAGTAACAGCAGTTCTCGCTTTGTTACTCTCATTTTACTCTTTGCTTTTCTTCTGTGTGTGTTTTAATGTCCTTAAGTGGGCGCAGCTGACGCTAGCTCTCTTACTGTAGCACACTTCTCCAGAAGAAACATCGGTTCTGCCTCCAGAATTACGGAGAAACGAAGATGCTGCAGAGTGGGACATAAGCTTCAGGAGGGGAAACTGTGTTCAGTTATTTTTTACTGATTATAGAACTTTCTGGGAGGGCTCTGGGAATCTCCTGTAGCTTTGTGCATGAATTGATTGTTTACCGCAGGGATCAGCTGTGAGCACTGCTTACGCTGGCTCTCTCTCCATGGAAACCCGGTTTTACCTCCAGAATTAAGCTCTGGAGAGGAAAATGTCCGCTTTCTCCCCAATAAAATGGACACGCTCTCAGCGCTGACATGTGTTTTATGGAAACGTGGATGAACAAGCTCATAGCAGACCATGGACATATTTGGGGGGGACATGACTCCCCACTTTTTCCAAGGTCAAGTTTTCACCCCTGCACTGTTTACCATTCGAAAACAATATTACTTTATATTAAACTGACACTGGTTGAGCTCTAGGAACAAGCAGAAAACAACTGTTTGTGTTGAAGCCAGGGGCGGCGTTAGGCCCGGCTACTTGGGCTGAAGCCCCGGATGTTTCATAAAAAGCCCTGGATCTAAATCGTGGAAGTAACATGCAGTACCAAAGTCCAACAGAGAGGGAGCAGCTGGCAGTAGTTTGTATACAGCCTGCCTGAGCCTCCACCACTGAAGAAGAAGCCCTTCAGCAGCCAGTTTCTTCTACACTCTGCCTGAAACGCATGAGTGAAGATGGACATAAGGACGTTTTTTAGACCAAAAGTACAACGACAGAACCCCAGCTTTGATGAGACTGGTGTTGACTCAGGTTTGTGAGTCTTATTTGAAAATATTTGTTGTGCTGCTGGTTTGCGCGAGCGCGCGCGCGCGCGCGTGTGTGTGTGTGTGTGTGTGTGTGTGTGTGTGTGTGTCTGTCAGCTGTACTCACCCTGAATGTGTTAGGGTGGGGGTGATGACAGATCCAGACTGGGAGGAGGTGGACAGAACTTGATTGGCAGCCAAGCTGCAGCTGGGTGCCATCATGGGGCCGTGGGCCTGAGGATGAAGCAGCGGTGGCTGGGGGTGTGGGTGCTGAGGCTGGGGATGGTGTTGGAGTTGAAGTTGGGGTTTGAGTTGGTGCTGGTTCAGACAGGATGGCCCATTTTGGGAAAGCTTCTGTAAGGAAGCAACAAAACAGCTGGGACCAGTTTGGAGCTTAATGTCCAGTTGTGCATCCAGCATGTGTGTGCATGTTTTTGAATGTGTGTGTATGCGAGTGTGTGTGTGTGTGTGTGTGTGTGTGTGTGTGTGTGTGTGTGTGTGTGTGTGTGTGTGTGTGTGTGTGTGTGTGTGTGTGTGTGTGTGTGTGATGACAGAGGCTAGAATGTGATCACCTGGTGTGTCTTTCCTGCAGCAGGTCAGATATCTGGCTCTAAATGGGTCTGACCGCTTTTATCTTCCTCACAAACAGCCGTCACTCACACACACACACACACACACACACACACACACACACACACACACACACACACACACACACACACACACACACACACACACACACACACACACCTACGTGCATTCATATGCTTGTGTAGATCTCCACTGAATTAATTTTAGTGACTCCACTATACCTAACCTGTACGCTACACCTAACCCAAACTAACCTAAACTAAAGTTCGTTCACACCAAACCTCTAAAACCAAGTTCTAGGGTGCTTAGCGTTGTGTGGACCAGCAAAATGTCCCCACAATGTGGAAATGTCCACACACTACAGGTTCAAGTCAAATGTGTCCACTTAAACATATAAAGACAAGTACACACACACACACACACACACACACACACACACACGCTCATGCCAGGTAAAACACGTTTGTTCTGTTCTGATTATTAATGTGAGTTCCTTTAAAGCTCAGTTCAACAAAAAAAAAGCTTTAGGTATTTTTTAACCTTCTTGTTGTTCTCCTCCTCTTGTGCTTGAAGAAACTCCTCCTCGATCTCCTTGAACAGGCCCACTTCTTCACAGTTCTGCAGAAATCTTGTTGGAGTCGGGGTCTGGTCTGAAAACATCACACACAAGAAGACGCAACGCGCTGAAGACTTTTTCTCTTGCTGTTGGAGCGCATTCGCACACTTTAGTCCAGGTCGTAACGCAAGCAGGAGAGGCGAGTCGAGCTCCCAGCCCTGCAGGTCAGATAACATCAGTCTGTCTCTCTGAGCCGTCCAAACATGCAGGGGTCAAAGGTCAGCTGGGTCCTTTTGTTTTGACACCAGATTTCAGTCGAGGCAGGCTGCAGGACGCAGGGCAGAGGGAGACGGTCCCAGCGGGAGATTCTACAGAGGTTAGATCTCACGCTTGTGTTTACATCCAGACGGACAGCTGTTGCTATGGTTACAGAGCACAGACTCTTGTATGACAGCATTTTTGCCAGCAGGTCAGTGATTTAATTGTTTAATTAACTCTGCATGAATCAACACACCATAACTATGAGGGGTATACGGATGTTTCGTCTTGGATCTGTTTTATGACGTGACCTAATCTTCTACTGAAAATATTTAGTCTGGCAAGCCATCCTATAAATATGAACATCTGCAAAAAAAAATTATTCGACTTTGGCAAATGATGGTTTATATTTTAGGCTGGAAACTATTTTCTGTTTGATGCTAAGTTTGTTTTTGATAAATTAGATGTATTATTATTAGGGATGTAAGAAAATATTGATATGGCAATATATCGTGATATTTTGTCCAGCAATATTATATCGATATTCAAAAACTGTGTATCGGAAATATCGATATGGCAATATATTGTGATATTTTTTCCTGCGATTATTACATCGAAATTCAAAAGCTGTGTATCTAATTCTTGAAAGAATTTACATGCAAACTTTTGTGTATTTTCTTTTCGTTTTGTGCAATTCAATCGCCACCCGCTACTTGGCAGCAGTGTGCAACAGGTTTTGTTTCCACCCTTGAACTGTAAATCCCTCCATCATGGTTCAGATACCTCATGTTAAACATGTTACGTATCAGTTTGGACTGTTTATTGAACATTCTTACAATAAATTCAGTAAAAAAAATTGCTTGTAACATCGGACTGAATGTATCTCAAGATATCGTGATATATCGTATCGTCTCCCCTGTATCGTGATATGTATCGTATCGCCAGAATTTAAAAAATACACATCCCTGATTATTATTATTATTATTATTATTATTATTATTATCATTATTATTATTATTATTATTATTATTATTATTATTATTATTATTATTATTATTATTATTATTATTATTATTAATAAGAATAATTTAACCATTTTCCTGGCAGCTCAGCCACTTGGTAGAGCATCTCTTAGGCCTCTCTTGAGGCGGGCA